GGAGCCGTTTCTACCAAAATTTATTTCAGGAGTTTGTGGAACTAATCATGTCTGAAATTTCCAGCAAGTTTGCATGGAAGAGTGTGGGTTTCTACACTTTTTGTCTTTCATGGACTTCCATAGCAGGGCTTATTTAGAGTATGAAAGACACTCCTTATTACTATGCTATCTTTATCGAACGTTATGTTTTTCTACTTCTTGATCCTCAAAGATCTGGGAAAGTGTCGATTGAAGTGAGTGAGAACTTATCTTACATGCTTTTGCTCTTCCAAAAGCACCCATTCTAAAATTTATATACATGCTGTTTCGTTTCCCTTTTTGGGTATTTCTGATTTATAGGATTTAACTGCTACAAGACTTCTTGATGATCTTTTTGACGTACTCTATGAGCAAACTCAGGACAACCCAGATCAGTCATGGGATGTATCGCAACTGTCATGGTATTAATTTGTTGCTATTTATTTAGTATGTTAACCCCAGCGGCTTCTAGGTGCTCTGTGAACAACTTCTGGCGAGTTCTTGAACAATTTCGGCGTTGCGACAGGGACTGGTCCGGAATGGTCTCTTTGGAGGAGTGTCGCTACCTAAAAGAGTATGTACAGTTTTCTAATGATCATCACGTCAAATACTACGCTGTTTGCAGAGAAAAATGGCTGCAGTTGTGTTATAGAATGAATAAGAATTGCGTCGTCTACGCTGTATATTAGTAACTTGAATATTATACTGGGGGAGGGGGGAGAGAGGATCCAATGTAGCTCATCGCACCCGCAATCTAATTTTGAAATGTTTTAATAATTTCCCACAATGACTCTCTTTTGAATATGCTTGTTTTAGTAGGTATAGTCGAGGTGTGACAGTTGAGAAGCAAGTAATGTCGATTCGAAAATTTGTTTTGTAGTGAATTAATTAGTTTGACGTAAACTTTCAGAATTGGTTATAATATTGCAAAATATGCAGGGGATAAGATAACACTACAAAACCAATTTTCAACCGGATGCCAAAATTATCTTTAAAAAATTTGTTGCAGACGACAGCGACCATTCTCGGAAATTTCCCGATTATACAAGTCCTTGCATCCGCTCAAATTTAACCTGATGTACAAATCTCTATAAACATTTTCTCTACTGTCCATGCTCGGCTGTTTTTGATTCTTGGCATTTGTAACACTTCAGCTAGATTTCTGAGCAGTTGGCCAAGATTGTCTTCTCTAATGGCTTTCGTCAACGTTTCGGCGGTCTTCGTTGGAACCTGGAAAGAAATCATAAGTAATGCGTCCTCTCAAACGTCAATAACAAGATTTAGGTTATAGTTCATAAGGAAAACCTGTTAAAACGATACCAAAGTTTAGAGTAACAGATACTGACCTTAGAAGATAGCATAACAAGGAGTTCATGGACAGATCACCTGAGCCAGTGCAGTACCTCAGCTTTTTTAATATGTGCTCTCGTGCCTGATCTCTTTTTCAAATCCTGAGAGGGATTGATAAGGCGCTAACTCGTTGGTGATATCAATGCACCCCTCCTTCTGGTTCATTTTTGGACTATTTTGGAATATTCTTCACTGTACATTCATACCGCAGTGACATTTTTATGAACCTGTACAACGCTAGATCGTATTCCTCTATGCGCTAACCATTGCCAGTTGTGGCGACTATAGCCTAAGTGGCTATTGTGCTATTAACACCATGTGGCTCTTCTGAGAAACAGGTGGTTTAGTGACATAGTTCATAAGCGCAAAATCAGGCTAGCGCTGATAGTTTCATACAAAACTGAGGAGTGGCACTGGTCCCTTAGCAGTATGGTCGAGGTTGCCAATGGTAGCGTTTTGGTGTTAATCGGAGCACAGCTACTACATTTTTGATGGTATATCGACGAGCGGGTAATTATTGTACAACTTTTATCGGATGGAAGCTTGACAAAAAACTGATTGTGCTCAAGTAACTTATTTCAATATTCCCTCCATCATAGCTGTAAAAATTTCTTGAGAAAACATGCAATCAATAAACCCATCAAACACGAAAGCTGCTACTTTTGTTGGTAGCTGAGGTAATAATAGAAGAATTCCCGGTAATTTCCCTAAATGGTCTTTTCTTCTCATTGTCACTGATTTTG